CAGGAATGTAGACATCTCCTTGTGCGCCAGCCCGCAAGCCGAGTGATGGCCATGGGCTGTGCGTGACATGCATTCACTGCAGAATGGAGGTGGCATGTCATGACACAGAAGGCAAATTATGGAGTCATTTCAGTTTTGTCCTCTTTAGGCAAATACAAGTATTAACTGGTAAAATTTTAATCTCTGTTAGTATGGATAGCTTTTTTTATTAAGAGAAAGTTTTGCTATAGGGCATGTGTACTCTGTGGAGAGACAGATAAAGACATAAAGAAAAAGTGAGATATCACCTCCCCGGGGGGGGATGGCCACACCAGATTTTGGGCATGCACACACATGCACCTGGCTTGAGTTCCAAGGCCCGGGATCCATGACCAGAATTGCGGTAGACTACACGGTTTATCTCTGTGTCTCAGACATATTTGTAACTGTGTCAAATAATGATTTATTTTTCCTTTCCAAGTCAGTCTGTTTTTGGAGGGAGTACCTTGAAGAACAAAAGTATAAAATTAGTCTTAATGGAACCGTTATGTGACTACCAGTAACTTTCTAGTGTGCGTGACTGATGGGGCCATTACTAGATGTCCACTTAGCGGCTGTGCGATCTCAAGCTCTGTCCTCATCCTGCTCTCTTGTTTTGACAGCTGTTGTCGGCCTGCTGTACCCCTGTATCGACAGTCACCTGGGAGAGCCCCACAAATTCAAGAGGGAGTGGGCCAGCGTCATGCGCTGTATAGCAGTGTTCGTGGGCATCAACCACGCCAGCGCTGTATCCTGACACACAGTGTGCTGTGTCCCGAGTCTGTGCCTAGGCCACGTGTTGAAGTACTGGGTTGCATTTCTACCTTCCAGCCTCCCAGCCGTCCAGCAGGTCCTGCGACATAGCAAGGACTGACTGTCGCTCCCACGTCCTGCTGGCAGGCTGGCTGGAGGGCTCTGTGTCTGCCCTTCTGCACACAGAAGTCCACAGGCCAATCTGAAGGTCCCTCACTTCTCATATCCATGGATGGACTTCGTTACGTGGGCACCGTGTGTGTGCCCCAGAGTGTGTCTCCAGAGTCTCGGGTTGGAGAGACATACTAGATAAAGCCCCTTGAACCCGCTCCCGTCCTATCTTGATAGACAAGGTCACTGTGACAAGTCCGCTCCATTGCAATCGGTCGGCAGTGTTGTAGGGACCGGTTCTGAGGGTGCTAGAGAGCACTGTTCTGGGCTGGCAGGTGCAGGCCTGGAGTGGGGCTCGTTCCTTTCACATGACCGCCGACGGAGGAGCGGGCTGTGGGTGACCTCACAGTCAAGCACACTGTTCGAAGGCCAGAGTGCCGGCGAAAGTTTCCTCCTGAAGTTCAGCCCTTGGCTCAGTGAGCCCAGGGAATGACTCGGGTCGTCATCATCACTCCTGTCACTTGGTGCCCAGTTACCCTTCCTTAGCTCGCTGTGGAGTTTCTATGGACAGGGCATTGTTTATTGCACAGTAATAAAAGCCCATGAGTAGTTCCCGTGGTTTTGCTTTTGATTCTATGAAAAATTGCTTTTTTTCCTTAACTTTGATGTCACCAGAAATTGGATTTTGCCAATAATGTCCAGCTTTCCTTGACCTTGGCAGCCCTGTCCCTGGGCCTTTGGTGGACCTTCGACCGTTCAAGAAGTGGCCTTGGGCTCGGGATCACCATAGCGTTTCTGGCTACTCTGATCACGCAGTTTCTCGTGTACAATGGTGTCTATCAGTAAGTGCGCATTTGCAAACAATGACTTTGTAAAACCATCACTTTCATGTAAACGTTCATTCAACTTAGATGCTTCTTAGTTGGCTTTTGTACAAAATTTTAAGCATGACGTTCTCAAAAATGCTGCTTGTTGAATCACGTTTTTAAATGCATTATATATAACGTAAATGTGAAACAACCAAATAGTAGCATGAGACATGTTCAGGTGGTAGCATTTCCTACTCCGTGGTTACGCTACACCCCGAGTGTCTCCATTAAAGACCCAGAACTGAACTAGGTGCAATCAAGTGCTCAGCGCGTTTTCTCTTCCCCTCTCCTCTCACTGCTGTTGTAGGTACACATCCCCAGATTTCCTCTATATCCGTTCCTGGCTCCCGTGTATCTTCTTCTCAGGAGGCGTCACCGTGGGCAACATAGGGCGCCAGTTAGCGATGGTAAGTGGCACACTCGCTGGCCCCCACACGTCTGAGCTTGACAGAATGACTTTATCTGGTTCAGTAGAATTTGCGTTGATGTACTTTAGTTCAGATTTGAGCATCAGTTAGAAAAAAACATATATTTTAAAAATTGGTGGGGCCAGCAGGTGGCATGGTGGTTAAGGCACCGGGCTCTCACATGGCCCACTGAGGTTTGAGTCCTGGACCTGGCGGCTTACTTGCTCGCTCGCTCACTCTCTCTGGTGAGCACACATGCCTTATAGCAAGTTAAAAAATGATAAAATTAAGTAAATAGTTCTTTAAAAATAAAATAGGTAATGACACTCAGGTAACTTCTTGCTAAATTATAAAAAGTCATAGATTTATAAATTTGTAATATTTCAGCCAGAGAGGAGCTATACAGTTCTGGTGTGACCCTTTCATATCACAGGCCCATCGTAACCAGCAGACGGAAGTTACTAAAATGTATTAGAAACTAATTTGGGGACCAGCAGTTGGTGTAATGGCTGTGTCGCTGGACTCCTATGCAATCGACCATGGTTTGAGTCTCGGACCGGGGGCTTAAACTCACACCAGGAACGTGTGTGTGTGTGCCCGAGATCCTGAGAGGAGAATGGAGAAGAAGGGATTGCGGCATGGCCATCCCCCCAGGGGTGATTTCTCGTTTTCTGTCTCTCTTTCTGACGAGCACACGCTCCCTATAGTAAAAACTTCTCAAAAAAAAAAAAATGTGGATGATCCTGTGCAGTGACACTGTGTTCTCTGAGCAGCTGTCACCTGACACTTCTTCCTAACAAAATCAGAGTGGTTACAGGGAATGCTGGGCCTCTTCAGACCTGAGTTGGGCAAGCCGGCCTCAGGCCACAGAGACCACGTCATGTCAGGGCCTCTGGTCTGGGCAGGTGAGGGGCCAGCTGGAAGCAGCTAGGCCTGGGCATGGAGGCGGGAACGCTGCGAGCATTGCTGTGTGCGGCTCAGTCACCTTGCAGAGGGACTGTCCCCTCTGAGCATCACACCTGTTCTTACCGAAAGTGAAAGAAGTAGTACCTACCCCCCCCAAGGCCCAGAGCCACTTCCTGAAAGAGGCTGAAGGACACATGAATGAAGGATAATTTTAGCACTTTTTAGTAGTTGAAAATGTACATTTGCACACTTTAATTAAGGAAACATTAGGGTTGACATTGACTCTTTTTTTTTAAATTATTTATTTATTTTATTTTATTCATTCATTCATTTTATTTTTTAGTTTTTTACCAGAGAGAGAGAGATAGAGGGTGAGAGAGAGAGGAATTTAGAAAGCAAACCACCAGATTCAGGACTCGAACCCTGGTCGGCCTTATGGGAGTGTCCAGCGCCTTAACCACCACGCCACCTGCTGGTCCCGACATTGACTTTTTAAACTTGAGGTGGAATTTCTGTTTGACAGTTGGCCTTGCATCTTGAAATTGCCCGGGATCAGGATGAACGCCGAGGTGTGGAGACTCGTGGTAGGCGCTTGGGTCAGCACCGAGCGCAGAGCTGACCAGGTCCGGACAGCTGCAGATTTGTGTTTTGGCCGAGGTTTCCTCCCAGTGTCCTGGGATCCGTCTTGTTCTTCCTGGTGGTGTCCTCCCTTAAAAACGAATGTCACATGGGACCAGCATATGGTATAATAGTTAAGTCGCTGGACTCCCACGTAATTGATTGTGGTTCACGTCCCGGACCCTGTGGTTTAAACTCAACCAGGCATGTGTGCGTGCATGCCCAAGATCCCGAGAAGAGACTGGAGGAGAAGGGACTGTGATGTGGCCATCCCCCCACAGCAAGTGACTTCCGCTTTCTGTCTCTGGTGAGCGCGTGCACCCTACAGCAAAAATCTCTTAAAAAAAAAAAAAGGAATAAGTCACACTGGGCCGGGTCCCACGTCAGCTCTGTGCGGGTCAGTGACCAGTGGGGGTTTCCGTGTGCTCATTTTGTTTTCCTACATGACACTGTCTCATGTGTCTACACACACCACGTAAGCGTTCGTTGTCAGCCTGTGTAAGAGAATATCGGTCTACAGTCGTCACGAATAGAATTGTAGTTGTTGCTCTTTGTGGCCCGAAGTCTCTTCAGACACTGAGGCTTCAAAACACTGCCAGCAGCGACAAATGTGAGCCGACTTTGTCTCGCCCGGGCTGCATGGGGTACCTAGTGGCAGTTCCACCTCGCTGTCAGCGTGGGGTTTAGTTTGCCTATCTGGTGTTTGGCCTAATTGATAGTAAGTGTTGTTATTAATCATGAGTAATACTGGCCAGGCTATTGTAACCCCAGCTGCTGGTGAGGGCGAGGCAAGTCATGAGTTCAAGGCCAGTTTGGGCACCATCGCAAGATCCTGTCTCTTGAAAATGGAAGGGTGGGCAGGTGGACCCTGAGGGCTCGCGGGTGTGGAGCACGCCTGCCGTTCATGAAGCACTGTGCCTCCCAGTCTCCTTCTCCGCTAACTTAGTCCTCAGAAGCCAACGCGTCAGAGTAGAAGTGGTCATTAGCCCGGCTCTAAGTGATGAAATCAAAGCTTAGGAAGAGTAACAACTGGCCAGGCAGGTGGCAGCGATGGGATGTGACCTGATGTGACCTGCGCGTCTCCTTACTCTGTTGTTGCTGCCCTGTCTGTCACCCATGCTGTGAGTAGATCAAAGAGTCTGTCAGAGTCCTCTGCCTCCCGCCATTTAAATGTGTCGCTGTCAGGCCACCTAAGGTTAGCATGCCAGCCGTTGTCTGGGTCACAGTGACTTGGTACCTGCTGGTCCTCCGTGTCCTCACCCCAGTCGGAGCCTGCTCCTGGGCCCCTGCGGACCATGGACTCTGGGGTGCCCTGTTTGTATCCTGCCAGTGAAGGAGCGGACGTGCCTTCCTGCTTCATCACGCGTCTGCTCGCTTTGTTTCCAGAACCTTCCTCCAGCAGGGTGCTAGCCTCTGGATGCCGGTGAGCGTGTCCCTAGAGTAGGAACGAGCAGCCAAGACGCCTGGTGACCTGGCCATCCCCTGAATGAGACACCTCGGCTGAGCTTCCTGGCTGCCCCCTCCCAGGTGGCTGCTCGGTGGAGGGAGAGCAGGAAGGTGGAAAGGCACGAGCGCAGAGGGACAAGCTGGCGTTTCCGCCTGCTAGTGGCTTTGTGACCCCCGGAGGATCGGGTCATGTCTTTAGCGAGACGTTGAGACCTATGAGACTTGACTGCACGGCTCCTGGCAAAGGTTTCCCATGGCTCGAGGGAGAATCACTGTAGAAAGGCGTTTCCGACTACGACAGGCCTGATAAATTTAAGGTCAAGTTGGTATTTCCTGGCACAAAGCGTGGCCTATTTAAAACATCTGTTTCAACAAACTGCTGTGGGCTAGGTCATAAGGAGGCGTCAGGTATTAGTCAAGGTTTGTGGCCTAAGCCTTCCTTTCTTCAGGTAAACAAATTGTTTTTAAGAGTGCAGTTCCCAGGATCAGCAGATGGTGTAATGGTTACATTGTTGGACTTCCATGTAGTTGAGCACGGTTTGAGTCCTGGACCTGGCAGCTTAAAACTCATGTGTGGTACGTGTACGTGCGTGCCCAAAATCCTGAGAGGAGAATGGAGGAGAAGGGATTGTGGCATGCCCATCCCCCGGAGAGTGATTTCTCACCTTCCGTCTCTGTTTCTCTCTCTCTGGCGCACATGCCCTGTAGTACAGATCTCTCTTGAAAAAATAAAAACAGTGTGGTTCCTCAAGTCACCACGAGGTCTTTTGGAGCACCTGCCGTGCCACGAGCTTTGCTCTGCTTGATGGCGATGGTAACTGGCCCTCCTGTCATTGCTGCTGACCCCTACGGCCTCTGCAGCCGCTTCCTCTGCGGCACCCTCAGTGCTGGTCGGTGGTGCGCTCTTGGTCCCGAGGGG